CTGTGAAGTAACTTAGGTTTTTTTTTTTATTATTTCATGATTCAGTTTTTTTGAGAAATCGTGATTTTTTGAAAAATTGTTGTTGATTATCATGAGGAATTAAATAATATTTTTAATTTTTTTTGTTAAATTTCTAGTTCAAAAAATTGCATGTTGATAGATTATTTATGCAAAAAAATACATGTTATTATATTTTTAATGCAAAACTGTATTTTTTAATTTGTTGTTAATGCAAAACAATACATTAACAAATACATGTTGTTAAACTGTATTATATTTTTAATGCAGTTTTACATTAAAAAATTATTTTTAATTTTTTAAATTTTTATACAAAAAATACATGTTAAACTGTATTATCATGAGGAATTAAAATGAATATCATTGTAAAAAAATCGTAGCATGTTGTTATATTTTTAATGCAAAACTGTATTTTTTAATTTGTTGTTAATGAAAAAAATTACATTAACAAATACATGTTGTTAAACTGTATTATATTTTTAATGCAGTTTTGCATTAAAAAAAAAAAAAATTTAAAAATTTTTAATTTTTAAAATTTTTAATGCAAAAAATACATGTTGTTAAACTGTATTATCATGAGGAATTAAAGTGAATATCATTGTAAAATATCATGTATGATAATTATATTAGTTTGCATTTATCAATTTTATTATTAAATTTTTAATGCAAAAAATGTATGTTCTTAATAATTAAGTTGTAGGCAAGTTTGGAGTTTGTTTTTTTTATTATATTATCTTACATATTTGTAATTGAGATGTATGAATATTTGGCATATGTGACTTATACAGATTTTTTTTTATCTATAATGTTGCATAAATTTATTTTTTTTTCTCAGTAGGAACTAATTAATATTTGTCGAAATGAAGATTTGTGACAAGTCCATATGTATTGGCATTGTGAATTACTATACTATTGTAAATATTTTTTTTATTGATACTATATCAATGTAAAATATATTGCTCTTTATGTAGTGGCTGATATAGGCTATTTTTATCTATAATGTTGCATAAATAAATTATTTTTCCCAGTAGGAATTAAAATATTTTTGTCAATAGAAGTATTTTGCATTAACTAATAAAATATAACTTCATGAACTACCCCTACATATTATCACTACACATGGTGATTATTTTTCATGTTCAACTGTTAGGTTAATTTGTAACCTTTTACATTTTAAAGTTGAACCATGGCAAGATCTGCAGAAGACCATGGGGTCAGACTTGATCCCAACAAAAAAGACAAAATTATTTGTAATTGCTGCCAAAAAATGATAAGTAGTGGGGTACATAGGTTCAAGCAACACTTGACAAAGGTTAAGGGAGATGTTTATGCGTGCAATAGTGTTCTTAATAATGTAAAAAAGCAGATGACGGCATTTCTCAAAGCTACCAAAGGAAAAAAAATTGCAAGGCAGAGGATGAATGAGGAGATAGCT